AGCCATTAAAAGCAATCCTGAGATTTACTTTTTAATCTCCTGGCCACCTCTTCCTGTTTTTATGAAGTTAATTATTTTTTTTATGTGAACCAATCCACATTCAAAAAGATCTTGTTAAAAGTAATTTCTGGGCGGCAGTGGTTTAGCATTTGCAACTGGGGCAAACTCTTAATCTAAAGCCGTGGCCCTGTTGTGCACAGAGAAGTATCTCGGGTCCCCCTCCACGGTTCTGGGAGCTCCCTTGACCTCAGCCCAGCAGCACAAATGTTATTTTGAGCATTGTCTGACTGCCCATGTGCTTCCACGAGTGGTTTTACCTCAGTCCAGCCAGGGTAATCCCCTTGTTCCTAACCCCTTCCACATCACAACACCTTCTTCCCCCAACAGGCAGTGGGGTGCATCTCTTGCATCTGCTAGAGATGAGAAGGGATAAAAAAGGTTCGGGACGGACTTGGTACAAGTTTCTTTATGTCCACTGAGGTACAGCGGAGCTTTCACCTTCCTATTTCTGGCTCTTTTGGAGCATGTCTGTCTGAAATTCAGCTGGTGCTGACTCCAGGTGGTAAATCCCTGCAGCACAGCGCTAGTAGGGATTAAAATTTGGGAGTGGGAACTGCGCAGCACGTTAAAGCAGCCATGCATGTGAGCCCAGCTCGGCTACAGCTTTCGGATGGAGCTGGTTACTATGGAGCTGGCTCGGCTGTCTGTAGCTGTGAAAGAAATGTAGGTTCAGTGTTATAGTGGAAAAGAGCTGTTGCTGGATCAGGCCAGGCTGCCATGGCTCTGGATACCTGCACCCAGCTGGCAGCGAGGCTGAACTTGTGTTCCCGTAGGCAGACAGACGTACAGACACACGTGCATCAGCCATGCTGATCAATGCAGACAGAAAACATGGTGCCAGCCATCTCCCTCGTGAGCCCCAAGCCCCTGCAGGCAGCAACCCTCTCCATCTGAGGGCTGGTGGGTCCCCATGACAGCCCTGGGAGCAGCCCCATCAGGGGCTCAGCCAGCTCTGGTGAGGTTGCGGGGCTTCCCCTGCCTGTCATGGTGCCTCTGCTCCTTCATGTTCCCGGAGGTGAGCCGTCAATCACATAACATTATTCAATGAAGGGATGGGATATTTGTGCTCCTGGTTTCTCCAGTGCTGCAGCAGGCAACAGAGGACGCGTTGCACAGGAGAAGTGCTGATGACATGGGACGCTGGTGCCAAGTAAGTAGCCGCTTCCAGATTCTCCGGAGAAGTCTGTGGGCACCTGTGGCAGCTGTATCCAGGTTGCAGCTACGGCTGGGTCGGTTTTCTTCCCTCTGGCAGCAAACTGCTGCTGGGAGCTGATGGGCTGAAATCTCTGGGTTTGGAGAGGTCTGACCTGTCTCACTGAAGGAGATGCCAGGCCATAGATGGCGTTTCTCCTTCAGGCTGTCTTTGACCAAAAATGGCTCTCCTTAATCTAGTTTTGGATCAAACAAATATCCAGACAAGTTGGAGGTTCTTACTCCGTCCAAGTGCAGCTGAGCAGGTTCAGAGGTGGGTTAGCGGCTCATTAACCATTCCTCAAGTAACAGCCCTGCTTTGCACAGGTAAGCCAGCCCTAGCTTTTGATCCGGTGAACGCTCACAGGCTTTACTGGTAATGGTTTGGAAGAAGAAGGGCATTGCCTTCCTAGAAAACTCTGACTGGAGGGAGAAAGGGAAAGAA